ACCCAGTTCAACGAAGCTAGGTCACAGAGTGGGATATTCGGACTGATCATCCGAGCGCACCTGCGCTGACGGAACGTTCGATTACGCTGTGACTCCAATCTTTCCGTGTTTGATTCCACGGTCTTTGCGTGATAGATCCCCAAACCTTTTTCCCACCGCTGACTTGCAGCCGCGTCGTCGCTGAGTGCTTCCGCAGTCAAGTGAGAAACTCTTTTGTTAAAACACCTACAAGTACTTGGACCTTCCGCCTTGCCGTTCCCTCACCTTCCTTCTCAACGTGGGAACTGAGTGTAACTGAATACCAATGTCAGAGTGTGTTCGTCGTCCGTGTGTCCTGCCCGGGCCGAGCCAGACAGACCGAGACAGACAGACTGACACAGACAGACCGCGACAAACAGACCGAGACAGACAGACCGAGACAGACAGACTGAGACAGACAGAGACAGACAGACCACGACCGAAAGACCGAGACAGACTATTGACATCGTGTGATATCGTGTGTGTGTAACCCTTGTAGTCACAGGGATCCATTTGGATTGTCTGTTTCCTTTTTTTCCAGCAGGGGGACACAGCATTTCACTGGGACTGTGTCCAACGAAGCTACCAGTGAAATGGGATGTCCAGCTTGGCCAGCTGGACGTACCTGCAAATTTTAATCCTTTGGTAAAGGGCTAATGCAGCTGCAGTCACGCACGTTACGCCGTCACCCTGTCGCTTCGACCTCGACTTACGCTTTTGGCCCCACTTCCTTTTGAAGACCTCCAGGATCCAGTGGTTCGTACTTGTACTCTTAGGAAATGGTACCCTAGGCCGGCGTGTGGCACCGCTTTCAGTTCAGTACGAATATCCATAAGTGTGTCTGGCCTCGCGCCAGCCCGGATGAGCCCGTAGAGTGCCTCCCGTGGACCCGTCGAACGGGGGTTTGTCTTTGTTTCCCTTGCTCTGGAAACGCACGTGCCCACAGCGGGCGAAGCAGGCTTAGGCCAAAGCTATTTGCCACGATTTGTCGGATTATTGAATTCCAAGTTGGCTCATGCCTTTACGTGACCGCAGCGGTCCAAGCTGGCTTAACGCCTCAACGTGGTCAGAGCGACCAAAGCTTTTGAGGTTCGTTGGAACCTGTCATGAACTTAGGTGCACAAACAGCACGTACATGTTCAACGAGGCTTGCCTAGGTTCTTTAATGAGGTTTGGGTTCATTGGTTTCCGTCCCCTCCATTTGGTTCCCTTTTCATCTTTTTTCCCCTTCACACACCTCTGTTCTCCTCTTTTCTTTCATGTCCTCCTGTCTTCATGTCTTTCATCTCATCCCTTCTTTCGTTTGCGCGCACATTGGTCCTGGCCTTAGCTTGTACGTGCACAACTGCAAGTACTTTAAACTCAGGTTTTAGGTGGCCCAGGTCTTCATAATGAGGTGGGTTTCATTGTTTGTCCCTGTGCACTTGGTTCCCCTTTCATCTCAACCACATGCACCTTTGCCCCGTCCCGTCCTCTTGTCATGTCTTCATTCTTTTGTCCCTTGCGCGCGCACACGTGCACATTTGCCTTAACCTTAGTTTTCCGCCTCCCCTCGGGGAGGCGTGTGTGTGTGTGTAACCCTTGTAGTCACAGGGATCCATTTGGATTGTTTGTTTCCTTTTTTTCCAGCAGGGGGACACAGCATTTCACTGGGACTGTGTCCAACGAAGCTACCAGTGAAATGGGATATCCAGCTTGGCCAGCTGGACGTACCTGCAAATTTTGATCCTTTGGTAAAGGGCTAATGCAGCTGCAGTCACGCACGTTACGCCGTCACCCTGTCGCTTCGACCTCGACTTACGCTTTTGGCCCCACTTCCTTTTGAAGACCTCCAGGATCCAGTGGTTCGTACTTGTACTCTTAGGAAATGGTACCCTAGCCCGGCGTGCGGCACCGCTTTCAGTTCAGTACGCATATCCATAAGTGTGTGTGTGTAACCCTTGGAATCATAGGGATCCTTTCGGATTGTTCTCGCTTTCAGAGTTTTTGAGTTTTTTAATTTTTCAGCAGGGGAACTGGGCACTCTGTGACTGACCCAGTTCAACGAAGCTAGGTCACAGAGTGGGATATTCGGACTGATCATCCGAACGTACCTGCTATTTTCCGAGTCTTCTGAATGGCATGAGGCTAAGCCCAGAACCTCAAGACATGGTGTTGCATAGGGCTTTGGTTCGCTTTCTGCAGATGTGCACGGACCGCCGTCAACCTGTTCGACTCGCGATCGTCGTTCGTTTCCTTCCTTTTGGGCCACTTCTCCGTTTGAAGACCCCCAGGCTTCGCTGGTTCCTTACTGGTACTCTTAGGAATTGGAACCCTAGGCCGGCGTGTGGCACCGCTTTCCGTTCCGTATGCATATCCATAAGTGTGTGTGTTTTCGTCCGTGTGTCCTGCCCGACCGAGCCAGACAGACCGACCGAGACAAACAAACGCACACTCTCCGTGCGGGCGGCTTCGAGCGCGAAGCGCTGTGAACATGATGTGATCCCCGAGAACCGTGAACAAGTGAATGAGAAACTTTCCCACTCGATCATCGCTCTGGCTTCAAGAATAAATGAATTTCACATCATTCACTTGAAAAGAATGAAGTTCTACGTGGCGAGAGTTGCTGCGAGCCCACCTGATTGCTACTTCTGAGTCCACCTGGGTTCGCGGCTGTTCTGTCAAGAATCGATCATCTTCGAAGAGCTGCCTCCACCAGCCATGGCCTCATGTTGCGGTCAAACTCCAAGAAATCCGAAGAGTGGTCCCCAAAATACTGCAGGGCTATCTGATCTCCTGCCGCGGCACAGTGTCCTCCCAAAGCTGGCACAATCCGGGACATCTTCTTCAGTGGGTAGCTATTTTTAATGTGCTACTTAGGTCGGGGGACTCAAAACACACATGATCAAGTCATCAGGTGTGAAACAAGACCTGAGGACCAAATCTTGTACCTCCTTCTTAAATACGGTCTTAACAATGTTCACTCTATAATCCTCTATATATAATATATATATATATACTATATACATAAACATATATATATACATTCATCCTTAATTGCGACGGGGGCCAGCTCAGTCTGCGACCCAAGTTGCTGTGCAAAAGGACACATTTTGAGGGAACCCCATCACGGCCAGCACGGCCGATGTGGTTCAAGTACCTCAGCTGCTAGGCCACCCTGTCTGCACAGGCCCTGGTGTGGTGGTGTCTTCGACGTTTTTCCGGCCAGGTGGAAAAGGCAAAATCACTCAGTTCCCATGATTCCCATGCAGAGCAAATCACGAAAAGGTCCACGTACTTCACGCTGGGTTGTTGGGTCGCTCCAACGAATCGTTGCGGCCAGGGCATGCGAATTCTCACGACGGTCCGAACTGAACAACGACCAGTCGCTTGCCACACCCGTTGGTGCAGGACTGGTCGCGTGGGACTGGTCGCTTGCCTTTCCCACGAGACACGAAACTGTCAAGGTGCACTTCGAAGTTGACTGGTGGTTCCCAATGGATGACCAGCCGAATGTTGGCTTTATCAATGCCCTGACCATACGCATCAGTGGCCACCATGACGTCAATCTCATCATTCTGGAAAGCCTAAGGTAGTGCTGGTCGGAGTGGAGAGGGACCCCATTGCTGGGAAACCAGGTGTGGAACTTCACTTCAGTCTATCCATTGGACAAAGCAATCATACAAAGCTATGTTTGATGTGAAACGTTTGTACCGATTGCACCACTATGAAATATGATGAAGGCAGCTTGAAGCGGACAACCTGAGATCCTGAGATGGTTTAAGCCTAGAGCACCTTGGTGGCAAGGCTGTGCCCAAAGCCGCTCCATGAGAAGGCCGTGTGGTGCTGCCAAGTCACCAAATTCATGTCAGCCCTGTCGGATGGAGGTGTGTTACCTGAAAAGGTGCATTTTGATGATGATCTGATAGGCGCAGTTATGTGGATCAATCATGTGGTGCAACATAACGCACACCTTCTGATGGGTCTAAACTAAACACAAGCAAACTACCATCCTCAGCTATCAATGCTGCCCTACTCACCTTTAACCTCATTTCACCCTTCAGCTGGTGGCTTGAATAAGTTTGGAAAACGCTACGACAAACCATGTCTGTCCCTTCTAATTGTACTCCAAGCCCAAAGCAAAGCCAGGTCTACAACCAACAACCATTGTGCTATCTCCGTGCTGCAGAAACTTGACAGCAGTGCCAACACCCTGCTTACACCTCCTTCTTTCCTCTGACCAGCCCATCTTTCCAAACTATATCCTCCGCTATCCTTTTGCAGGTAGTAAAGGAGCCGTCAATGTACGCAAAGGAAAGCTCCAGTCCACCTAGGATGTCATGACCCAGTTGGCATGACTCGTTACTTTTGGCAGTCGGCTCTACGACCGCCGCGAAACTCTCTGTGTAGTTTGAGTGGATGTACATAATCACGCGCCGCGGGACAAGTCTTTGGGGGGAAGGACATGTCAATGTTACGATGTGACGCACGGAGTAGTGTGTTCACACGTTTATCGGGACGTTTATGCACCCTCATCGGAACCAGCTGGACGCTGGAGAGACATGAAACCTCAGATTTCTTGGCATTTACAGTAAGAAGTTAGAAGAACATTTTTTGGACGTGGCGACAGTTTGTGTCGGGTTTTGTGGTTTCGGTTGTGTGGTGTTAGCGAGGGAACCTTCACAGAGATTTGGAGTATTTGGGGCCCTTGACTGAAGGTCAAGAATCAAAAAGCCTGCAGTGAAATCCTGCAGTGATCCACTTGTGCTGCGAGTTAGTCTTTCGATGAAATGTCCGATGGGGCTTGATCTCGCTCAGGAGCTCGCTCGGGGGTGCTGGCAGTGCCAGGGACAAATGTTCGCACGATTGTTCGGATGATTGATACGAATACATTCTACATCATTCAACAACAAAATAAGATTTATCGCGTTGTCCAACACAAAAAATAAGGCACTAGTTCTAAGCAAAAGAACCTTGAACCAACCTGCAGGCGCTACAAAAGCATTGGCAACCACCGATTCTTTCAAACACATCAAAGAAACCCTCTGATATTCACCAATGCAACAACATGTCAAAACTTTGGACCTGATTGACAGGACATGCAAACGTTGCCCTCTCACGACATGACAAACGTTCCAGGGCGGCCCTGGAGCCCATGTTTTGTTGTTCTGCCTATTTGCACTCACACATCCGTGTGCTTCGTCCGTGTCAAAAAGCTTATATAAACTTATATAACATAGCCTGGTTATGCATGGTTCAGGTATAGGAACCTAGAAACACCACGTTCAGTGTCAGAAACACACCTGACAACATAAGATCCTATCTTCGACAGGCATTTGAGAAGGAACGGACATCATGTATCATTGTTCCCTTCAATTTCTTAAACGATTTCTTTTACTGAAGCATTCTTGATTCAGAACCCAACGACGAGCGCAGGGAAAATCTACCCAAGGCACGTTCTGCACAGCATGCTTGGAGGCGGCGTAGCGTCCTACCAATGACAACGCACATAAGTGTGCAGTTCAACTTCTTACAATCTATCGCCAACAATGAGGTCACTGTCCTTCAATATCTTCAATGGCTTCGTGGCACAAAGGGTCAAGCAACAATTGTTGGACTAGTGGACTTGCAACCACGTGTGTCCAGCGTACTGTACCCACTGACAAACACAGGAACCGATGGGAGCAAGCCTGGGAGCCTTGTCCCATCCTTCCAGCCTTCGTCCCATTGGCTTTGTGGGCACATAGACCAAGGCCTGTGGGATGACAAGACGACCGCCAAGACTAGAGTGACCCAAACAACTCAGGCTCATTTGGTCAATTCCGCGGCAAGCAGGCTCATTCGTGACTGCTACCGCTGTGGTCTCTTGTTCAAATCTGAATTCTTACTCAGCTTGAAGCTAGCAAAGTGCACAAGAGCCCATTTAAAGGACAAAAAATTGGATGGGATGCTGCACTGCAGGGCAAAAAGGATTGATGAAAACAATTCACTCAACTGGCAATACAAATACCCAAGACTCTGGTACGTCTGTAAGGCTTGGGGATGTATTTCAATCCTACTGTCGGCAGACATGACTACACAAAACGATAGACCTTGACCCGATGCTGGTTGTGCTTGAACATCTCCTGCTTGCGAGTCAAAAGAACCAAAAGAACTCCAGAAGTTCTGTCCGAGAGCGACTTTTTGCAGCCAAATCACTGGATAGCTGCCTTTGGCCAAAAGATCCACAATAACCTCCAATTTACTTTTGTCCTGAACTCAAACGCAAAACAGATTCTCGAAAGGATCCCGTTTTCAACTGCAAAACGGCTTCGGATCGCTTCGTCTGATTCACAGGTGAAATAAGGCAACTACATCGGGGAGTATGCGTATGGTATAATTAGTCGCTCCAAAACCGAGTTCACATATATTTCCGAAAGTGCTTGACGAGTCTTCAGAGGAACCAGGTGGTCACAAAAGAAGTCTGATCCACCTTGGCTTGGGGTGCCTGAATTCCGAAGACCATTAGAAAGACCTTCCTGCGAGCTAAAGGGTACGGAAACTGGGCATGCAAACATGCAAAGATATTCAGAGCACCATGCGCACTTGGAATCAGGGTTGAAAGACCAGGAAATGAATTTGTGTGCTGACCAATTCGCCCTAATTAAGACACGGTTCAACTGTTCGGTCTTTGACAAGGTTTCTGCCTAGTTGATCCTTGAGCTTCGGATTTCCACATGTTTGACCTTTTTGCCCCTTGACGGTACGAGGCTCTGTTTGGCAGCTCTGTGTGGCTAAATGCAGATTGCCGCGGAACATCGGCCTGGCCGATGTTCCGACTCGAAAGCACGAGTTTCTGGATTGAACGGACTGATTGCACAAAAACGTGACACAAATAATATTTAAACAAGCAAACAAGCAAACAAACAAATAGCTAGCAGCTAGGTACTTACTTAATATATAGTTACTTTATGTTAGTTTGTATCACTGTTGAACTTCCTCCAACGAAGAATGGAAGACACAAGACCAAAGGCTCAAAGAAAGCATCCAAAGTCCCGAGGAGTAAAAGTAGAGGAATAGCCAGGAATAGCCTGTCGGACAAATTCTGCTGATCATTTCTGTTTAAAAGACATCAACAGACTATATCGTCTTGTCACCGTCGGAAGTTACTACAGTAATTGCTTCCAAAGCATCTGTCCAAACTGGGACAGCACAACCCAAACACTTTGAAGAACGAGTTATGAGCTTTCTGAAAGCCGTGCCATGCTCTAAAGAGGTCTGTTTCCACCTGAGCCTGGATGCACCGGATCCACACTAACTGACCACACTCACCCCGCACGACCACGCGGGCATCCCCGTGCGTCCACAGCGCCTATGACTTCCTTGGTGTGAAAAAAGCAGGATTGACCCTCTACTCTCCTGTGAGCGTGAGTGATGACCCTCCAACAAAACACTGGACGCTTTTTGTAGAGGACCAATGATTCTTGCTGGAAAGACCACCAGCCACTGAATGGGGGGAGCTGGCTTTGTAGCAATGAATCGCTTGTCAATTGAATTGAAGGCCTTGCTCAATTGCAAACATCAGCGACAAAAAATTGTCTGACGCATTTCGAGAGAAACCCTTGAAGGTAGGGTCTCTTGTTTGACATCACCCGCACCCTCTTTGTTACCAAGACTACATATATATATATATGACTATAAAAGGCCAAAGCTTCTCTGAAAGCTTCTCTGTCACTGGAGGAAGTTCGTCCGAATGACATGCCAACTCTTAGGGGAGAAAGAAGGTGTCTCAAGAAAGCAAGCATGGTCTCTGAATGCTGCAAGCAGGACATCAATGACGATACTCTAAACGGACCCAAACAAAAACGAACGGAACAGCACCTCGCCATGGCACCTCGCTATGGCTACTCCCGTGGAGGTTCTCCAGGTTTGTCTCCACTCAAGCCCTGAAACAAATTCACCCAAGGACAGCCATAGATTCATTCTGCGGACTCCATCTCGTCTCCTTCTTGAATCACCTTTCCAAGCGTCTCAAGGGCTTCTCTAACTTCAAGAAGTGACGTATCCGGAGCTGAAGCGCTGGGGGCGCGGTCCCGGAGAGGGCAATCATCGGCACGCCAGGGTACCTCGTGACGAGTGCAGCTTCATCTCGGGAGTGTAGTTCAAACACCGGAACTCCGGGTCTCCAGCTAGATCTCTTTAAGTTTCCCATAGTTTCCCTAAAAATTTAGGAACCAAATCATTAGTGCAAGTGCTTCTTCAAGGAAGCCCGAGCTATCCTGCGTCCTGTCAGTAGTAGCTACTTGTAGCTACTAGCGACTCCCTTGCTTCTACTAGCTACCTAGCTAGCGAACCTACCTCTCACCTCTACTAAGTAGCGGCCTACCCGGCCTACCCTCCGGTCTTTGAAAAGAGAGGTCGGTTTTTCCAAATATTTTTTTGTCTCATCAGGTTCCTAATCTTGCAACTCCAAGAAACACATCCCGAAGCCAAGAAAGATCTTGGAAGGCAGGACGGAAGCCGTAGCCCCACAGCGGGATATAGCAAGCTTCGTCGATCACGAAAAGAGACAGACGCCCACCTCAGCAACGTCTGGATCGTCATCCTGTCATCCTGTCACCCCCGCCTGGCCTATCGTGTGAAGCTTAGCTCCTGATCTTACCCCCTTTAAGACTAACATGGAGTCTAAAACAAAAGTAATTACTGTTCCAAGGGTCCATATTCAGGATTCTTGCATGTTGATGTTAGTTTTCGGAGAGTCAAAGAAAAGGCCCTTTCCGCACATGCAAAGACGTTGGCTCTCTTATCCTGATATTGAATTTCATGCATGATCCATGTCATTGTCCGCATGAACCATGATTGTACACAAAGCGACAGATGGATTTATTCTGATTTGTTGCTGTTCCAACCAGTTCTTCCGCTAGAGTAAACATCGGCACTGCAGTTTCCCAGAGTGTCCCAAAAAGCATCCCAGGAAATCCTGCACCCCTTGTCGACATCACTTCGCACTGAGTTCGTACAAGTCGGCATCCACAAACACTCCTTCTGCTCACTGATATAAACATGCTGCAACATACATTCTGTCACACATGGAAAATCATGGAAGTGGAGGTCTTCCTTTTGTGCAGGAACATATCGTCTTTCCAGGAACCGTGTCTCACTTCATGAGTTGAATGAAACCTTTTCAAAATTTTGAAATTTGCAATGTCCGGTTCCTACACAGAAGCACCACTGCCAAGAGTCTGTCATACAATGGCATGAAGTCCTCCAAACAAGCTGTGTGTAACCAAGCATAGTCGAACAGCCAACTTCAACTGGATACAAAAGTGATTCACTCAATACCCTCTTAACATGTTTTGACAATCCTTTATCTTCGAGGGGATCGTGGAAAGTCTGTCCAACAAGCGGGGGACAATTGTAGCTAGTTCACTCAATCTGCAGCTTGGCCAAACCCCCGCCTGCAAGAACCTTTGCGTAGAACCCTCCGGACACATGTAGACCAAGCCTCAGAAGAGCATGTGAGGTCGCTCCGAAATTCCCTACATCTTGGAGCGGTCATTAGGACAGGGCATCGGGCTTGGGTTTTCCCCATCGGTTTGCAATGTTTGATGAATTTCACTAACATACCGTATGTGTCCAAGCACAAGTAGTGTCATGGACATGGCAAAGCAACGCACAGCAAACAACTTTTTCACAAGTTCAAGTACCTCACATATGCAGCTGCTAGTTCCTTTCTCTTGGGCATGTCATTTGAACCCTAAAATCTGCTCTCGAGTGGGCATGTCCCTTGATCGGGTGTCTGGAAGTCGCTCCGCGGCATCGGTTAGGGCATTGGTTAGGCATCGGTCTATACACGCTGGTGAAAAACAGAAATTTTGCTGGTAGTATGTACGAGTATGTATGTATGTATGTATGGATGGATGGATGGATGGATGGATGGATGTATGTGTGTAGGTGTGTCTGTCTGTCTGTCTGTCTGTCTGTCTGTATGTATGTATGTATGTATGTATGTGTGTATGTATGTATGTATGTATGTATGAAAAGGTGCGGAGCGCATTTTCACTCGCGAACTTGGGCCTAATTGGCCAGTGCGTTCATGAACCTGTGACACGCGCTTACACGTCTGACTGACTGCTCTCCAACACTGACATGTCTTACATGTCTTACATGTCTGACTGCTTACATTCAGTCACTCCATACATGCCACTGTCGTACTTGCTGTGCCCTTGCAAAATGCGGACACATGATCGAGAAATGCAGAACCTTTCCAGCCTGAGTCATTCGAAGCTGGTGCAAGCGTCGTTCAAGCTTGCTGCTGTACTTTTCTGCAATCTCTCGCTCTTTCAAAAAATCTTCTAAACTCTCTTTCATTCGTTCTACCTGTGCTTCAAGTTCATCTATGTACGTTTCTTTGGAGAAACATTCGTTCTCCATCTCCCAGATCTGCTCTTCATACCGGGTCAGGAAATGGTGATCAAGCCATTGCGATGCTTGAGTCTCACGGTCCACCATTTCCACATGCACACTCATGTAAATCTTCTTCACCCTGATCATTCAGGAAGTCCTGAATGAAGGCCCCAATGCCCTTGACCATCTCACTCAAGTAGTTGCGCAGCCACGTGCATAGGCTCAAGGCCCCGACGCAAGCGCATAGGCATAGCATCCGCCAGCCGAAGTCGATCTTTGTCTCATCATGACTTTCATCGATTCCATCTGTTGGTGTCCCAGTCACCTTGCTGAGGTTGGCCATGAGCATTAAGAGGCCAATCCTCAAATCCTTGCTCTTGTTGAATTTCTTCAGGCCCATCTTCAACTGCTATTCCTTCTCGGTCTCATAGAACTCCTCTTCACCCACGCGGTCGCCCACTGCATCGATCATGCCCATCGTGAGCAGGCCTCGAAGTCTTTTCTTTGGTAGGTTCTTCGCGCCGATGTCAGCACTGTTGAGATCAGTGGGTATGGGACTCACTTGGATGATCTTGTCCCGCTCTTTCTGCTGTATCCACAGCATTGATGCGTCCATGCGTCGCGCCCGGCCAATGCCCTGCCGTTGTGTCATGCCACGGGCCGCGGAGCTGTCAGACCTGGCTTTAGTTTTGCATTGTGAACATCCTGCGACCAGGGCCATGAACTCACTCTCGCCTCAGGATAGGGCATTGGCCTTCTAGCTTCTCACTTTGCTGTCGATGAGGTTGCCGTCCAAATACAGCTGCATGGAAGTTGTGGACTTTCTATCATTCTTGTTGCCTGCGTGATCAGAGTCCGTCACGATCTCCAGCAGGTGCTGATCAGCTTCTTCAACTTCAGCTCCTTCTCTGAAGTCCGTCATAGACTGACCTTTCTTTCGTTCCTCCAGCCGGACTCCATATCCACCAGCGCCGAACAGGTAGGAGCATGCGTGCCAGGCATTTCGAAGAGCTTGCTTCGCTGGCTTCGACATGCGTCGCGCCAGGCATTGAATGGCATATTGTGCGTCAGGGCGCTCTCCGGCCATATCCATCAATCTCTCTATGTCACAATGTGACCTGCCGAGGTTGAACTGCCTCTTCAAGTAGAAGAACTTGTCTCCTTGGCCAAAAGGTCCCTTCTCCTCGACATTCCATTCCTTCTCCTCCTTGAAGTACCGCACAAGGTCCCTCACTTTGTCCTCTCTGCCGACAATGAACACATTGTCCACGTGCACTGTGAGGTAGATGAGGTGCCTGATGAACATCAGTGTTGGTTGCATAGGGTCCTGTTCCAGCCCATATTCCCTGCATGTCGTTGCGAACAGCTGGAACCACTGTGATGCTGCTGTTCTCTGACCTGGTAGGCATCTCAAGAGTTTGAATATTCTGTTGTCCTCTTGGACAAAGGCATTGAGGAACGCGTCCTTGATGTCCAACGGTCCAACGTGACCACCACAAACTCCCTCCTCAGGTTGAGCATGTAGTGGATGAGCAATTTGGGTATTGCCATGATGGATGTAGGAGCTGCCTCAAGTTCTACGCTGTTTCAAAACTGTCTCGCTACCAATCGCGCTCGTCGGAACCATCCTCCTTGTTCCACTCGATGCTTCCAGCGTAGGACCACTTTGGCGCTGATGATGTAGCCCTCAGTTTGTTCCACCTGTGACTGATCTGTTTCGACCATGGCGGGCATCTCAATCATGCGCTTGATCTCCGTGTCCCGTGCGGCCATGTCCAAACGCTCAAGCTCTTCTGCTGAGACTTCCGGGGACCGTCACCTTCATCTCCTCCATAGCTGTCCAGGTACTGTTCTTCTAGTTACTAGAATAACAAATCCTCCGGGTGAACAAGATGCAACTATGCATGAACCGGCAGAATCACCAAGAATGTCACCGACGAGTAGCCTGGGACATCTGTGTCCACCACACTACGCAGGAATAGAAGCAGTTGAACTACAGGCAAGAGAACCACATGGAGATGAAGAAGTGGACCCAGAGCTGATGCCAGATGAAGTACTAGAATTGGCCTTCTCACCCTCATCAAGTCTCTTGTTTGTTGGCGCACTCGTAGGAGTCCTTGGCGCTGTCGATGAACCGCCCATAGATAGCGTCACTCAGGGCGTCATTGGCTGCGCTTGCAGCCCTGGCACTTCAGCTCTTCTTCACTGGCATCCATCTCCAACGTAGGTTGCCTGTATCGTTGCGCTTGTCCGGCATGTTTCATCAAGATGCCCTGGGCAGAGTAACTCCATGGAAGACCTTGGGCTGGGAAGATCTCGGGTCCACTGGAGCTTTCTTCCGGCGATAACCTCCTGACGGTTCGCGCCTCATATGCTCCAGTTGTTGACAATACCACATGGTTGTCATTCCATGGATGTTTTGTCACCCAGATGCCCTTCTCGAATCCCGCGCTGCCTTTGTTGCGTTGCGATGGAGAAGAAGCTCAATGTTCTCAATGGTTCACTGGTCAGGCTACTCTTTCGGAAAGCCTTGCTGCCCAGCTGATTGAAGTCCTCTTCGCTCTCCAGCTGTGTCCAAAGGCCATCTTTGCCTTTCACAAGAGTCACGCGTGCCTTGTAGTCCTTCTCAATGCTGCTTGAAGGGTCGATCAACTGCATGGCTACTGGGTCGCTGTAGACAGCCACTCTATTTGGCAATCTGTGCCATCCCAGTGTCATCTCCATCTCCTGGACATACTTGCTCAGGTAGCCTTGAAGAGCCAAGATTCGTGCTGTGTCCCCTTCTCTCAAGTCTTGGTTCTGGATCTCCACAATTTTGTGAGTGCGCTGCAAAGATCCTGGCCTCACACTGCAGTGAGTTCCGGTCTGTGTTCAGTGGGATGTCAACAGCAGGTGAAGGCTGCCATCCACATTGCTCAAGGACCATCCTTTCCTGAGCAAGCTTCCAGCACATAGTATGGGGTGTTGGACGTTTCCCAAGACAAATTCCTCAACAATCTCCACACGCTTGCCACCTTTGTCCATCAATCTGATTCTGGCTCTCGTAACCCCATCATGCGCTATCTTTCGTCCTTGGGCGTCCACCATCTTCAACTCATCTCGTCCATCTTGTCGCATGCCCACATTGGCATAAGAACGGGGTAAGACAGAGATGTCAGCGCCACTGTCCAAGGTGATCAAACACTTCTCATCCTCCTCCTCATTGTTCATCCTCACCATATTCACAGCCATCTCCTCCTCATTGTCTTGGAGGTCTATGGCCACAATCATCACTCCATTGGGTACTTCCACTGTTGGCTCATAGCAATCCTGGTACTCGTTCTCATCCACGTCCTAGAACTCGTCCGTCTCATACTCCTCGTCCGTGAGCTCCACCATACCCACACGCCACGGGTAGTTCTCAGTCCTCTCCTCACGAGGTGTGGTGAGGTCAAAGACTTCCAATGAAGCTGCCTCATGGAGTTTCCAGTCTCACAATTTTCACCGATGCTGTATGCGTTGATGTAGCTCCTCCTCCACCAGTGTTCCCAGTAGATGAAGAGCTCGCACCGCCAGGATTTGTGCTTTCCTCGATCTGATTGACTCTTTTCCAACAGTCCTTTGCATAGTGGCCCATCTTGCCACATATGTGGCATGCTCCACTCTTGGATCCTTTGCCACCTTTGTCGCCACTTTTGCCCTTCTTGCCAGGGCCTTTCTCCCATAGGGCCTTTCCTTTGTCAGAGTCAGAGCCCTTCCATGACCCCTTTCCATCTTCGCTCTTTCCTTTGTCCTTTCCCTTGTCTTTGCCCTTGGAACCTTTGCCTTTGCTCTTGCCTCCTTTCTTTCCTTTTCCACTCTTGCCGATGTAGTCCGCCTCCATAGCAGTTGCATCGTCTCCCAAGGTGTGAGTGGGAAGCATGAGGCTATTCGAGGCATCCCATTTGGTTGTCACTGCTTCCAACTGAATGATGCGGTCTTTCAGCTGGTCGTAGGTTGTGGCATCTGTCAGCCATAGATGTGGGCGCTGCCGGATCTGTAGAGGACATGCCAGCAACACAGCGGCCACTTTGGCGTCGTCGGAGTACTTCTGGTTTGAAATCCGCTCGTACTCCAAGATCAATGCTTCAAATTGGGGAAGCTGCTCTGAGACCGACTTCCCTTCTGCAAAGTGAATTCTTGAAAGCTGACTCAACAAAGCCAAGGCTCTAGCTCTGGTGGCCGGCTGCATTTCTTTCAGCAATATCTGCCAAGCTTCAAACCCGTTCTCGTTCTTGACATGGCGGATGAGCTTCAAAGGTCGCTGCCGTAGGTAGGAGGTCAGCAAGCTGTACAATCGTACTGCCTTGGCCCTCGTCTCATCTGTCATATCTCCAATGTCATAGTTTGCCTCCACATTGTTCTCCACCATGTCCATGCTCTGTGCCATAGACGGGTCCAAACCCTTCACATTGTTCAGAAATGAGAACTTCCAGTCACTCCACAACTTCAATTCTGCTTCTCTGCCATCTGGCTTGAACACATCTGGTGACTTCAGATGTCGAAGTATAGAACTGTGAGGCCTGGTTGATGGCCAGGCGCTCAAGCGCAGTTGCCACTTGTCTCAGGCTTTCTTCAGCCATTGCTTTCCAACCAAAAACCTTCGGGTAGTAGGCCTTGGTCTCCACCGTCTCACAACTCGCTGTGCTGTCAAGGCTCAGCCCTGCGTAGGATATGATATCCCAGAACCGCCAGTTGAACACTAGCTCACTCAACTTCTCCTGCCCTGTGCTATCTCTCACCACTTCAGATCCTCTTCACGAACCGCCACTTTGCTGGCACCACCACAATGACCTCCTTCACCATGGATCAGTTCCTCCTGTTGCAGTAGAGACACTCGTAGAGCTCTATCACTCTTCACTCACCTGATCTTCGCAATGTGAACTTCCGTCTCAATGCTCAGAGTGTAGATCCTTCTCACCTTTGTCCTCCCTGTCCTCGGTGTGATCGAGTTGGCCTGGAAATACTGGATCTCCTGAGCCGCAGCTGATCCTACCCCGCTGGCGAGTCCGGCAAGGATGATCAGCTCAATCAGCCAAATGGCCGTGAATGTAGTTCCTCCCTTGGATCTGGTACTTCTCGATGTCCGCGTCATAGTGACAGGGAGCGAAGGTGCCGTAGGGCTCGTAGTGCTCGTGGTGCCAGTGCGTGGGTAACGGAGCCCCGGTGCTTTACGACCAGGGCTCCGCTACCATGAAGAGGTGCGGAGCGCGTGTTCACTCGTCATGCGCTGTTGCGTTCATGAACCTGTGACATGTGCTTACATGTCTGACTGACTGCTCTCATGCGTTTGCCTAGATTCAGTGTATGTATGTATGTATGGATGTATGTATGTATGTATGTAATTTATCTATCTATTTATCTAATCTATCTATCTAATCTATCTATGTATCTATCTATCTATCTATCTATGTATCTGTGTATGTATGTATGTATGTAGGTATGTAGGTATGTAGGTGTGTATGTATGTAGTTTTCAATGTATGCTCAATGTAAGACCTACCGACATAAAGATTTTGGTTCCGACGTTTTTGGACGGATCTCGTGTGGCCAGGGGCGACTAAAATCAGGAAATTAGCTACTATTAACAAAGGGCATCGCTACTAGGAGCAAGGACGCTACTAGTAGCTCCTGGCCTTACTACTAGGAACAAGAAGCTACTAGTTACTAGTAACAAGGGCATTACTACTAGTGTTACTAGTAGCAAGGACTCCTGATTTGTGCCCAGGACATCTGATGCAATGAGTAATTGTGGTTGTATTGCTTGCTCCAACCATGTGCACTGCAAGTTGTGTGAACCATGAATGAGCTGTCTACTGTAGCTACACAAAGACGTAGCCTGAAACCAAGCAAAGTATTGGTACCAGTCACACTCCAAATAAGCCGCATATTGCAGTTATAAGTTACAATATGTTACAATGATGTCCTGGACATACACATGCATCGAGGTTCAAAAGGGCTCCAAGTCAATGGTTCTGTCGGAAAAAAGCTGTGATTGCGTTTCGTGCTCGCCAGGGGGCAGTAGTTCCCGGCAAGGGCAGCATCAACCACGTCCTTGTCAGTTTGAGCACTGCCAAGTAAGCAGGCTTTGGCTCCAACCGCGCCACAAGCATCGGCCTTTGTATTGAACTGCTGAATTTGATCCTGGCAACATCGAGGAGAGTCGAACAAAATTGCACAGCTGAATTGCACAAAGTGGCCTCAATCCTTAAGTAGCTTGTAAGCGAAGTAGAACACCCATGGTGGCCAGGTGGCCATGTTTCGCCTCGTTGATCCTCAGGAGGTTTTGTTGATGTTGCCTGAAACAATACACTGCCAAACTTACCAAAGGACCGAAGGGGGACGTCAACCGGAAGTAGAATCCTACATTAGCAGAAAATAGCAGAAAGGTCCCGGGGAACGTGGATCCACAACAATCTCAATCTACAAATACCCGCGTGCTTCTATCAACTTGGATGTGATTCAATTGATCATGCGAGGACTCGATGGTGTCTCCTGCTGGACAGCGATGGTAGGCTCCACAACGATGACAATGCCCTGGTTTGCTTGCCAGCTCAGCAATGCCACCTCACAAATTAAACAGTCTGGCCTTGCTCAACAATGTAGATCTCTCAGTGTGAACACTGCAACAAGCCCATCGTGACACCCAAAAACACCAACAAAACACGTACCTTCACCGAGCTCAAAACGACTCAACATGTGACCCAGCTGCCAATTGATATATCAAAGACTTTCCAGCTGCCGTGGGCCAGTACATCTCCAGGTCCTGCAGGCCGAATTTCAATGTCGAACCTCCAACGCAAAGCAACTTCTCATGTCATGCACATGGAGTATATAAAACATGGTGGACTGGGGGAGTTTCCAAATCCAAGTGCGCTGCAACGTCATGTAACACGTAAGCATTCTTCTTCAAACACCTTCCTTTTGAGTAACCCAGTGCAAGACATCCATCTGAAGGGCCCAAAGGAGTCAGCCTATAGATCCCCAGAGGCTCCAACATCGTGGCGTGGTCTGAAAGAAGACGACACGGACCGAATGTATGCGTTCTGTGGAGATGAATGGGACGCGTTTCGCCCGGGCTTTCTAATCTGTGTTCTTATGAGCAAACAAGTTCTCTGTGATTGTATTCCAGTATTATTAGCCACCTACTCTGCAAAAGTGACCAATGTTCAGTACGAATGCAAGAGCTCCAAAAATGGGGCAACGCACGGTTTCCGTTTGCTGGGACTGTCCTGGTGGCACAAGACGGCTCTCAAAGCCTCCTCTTGTCCTTCTCGGTATTCCTCATGGCCAAAGAAGTCCTCACAACCAACCAACAAGCAAATGTCGCACATGTCCACAACTCTTAGGCTCAAATATTTGTTGGCGACTAGTGACATCATCCTTACAGTGCCTCGTTACTTGTCCACAAGGTTTTGATCCTTTCCTTCCATCCACCACCCCATGATACCTCACCAAAAGAATCCACAGCTCATCCCCACTAATCCCCACTCCTTCATGAGTCCTCGGGCTGAGGCCATCAAACCTTCCAGCACTTCTGGCCACTCCTGGATGCAGCGGAGGCTTTCGCGATGGTCCGCAGAGGTCCGAGGATGTCCGAGGTGCGCGGAACAGCAGTGGTGGAACGAAAGGACTGCCGCACTGGAAGTGGTCTTCAGTCAGGCTGGTCTCTGCAGCTGGGCTGTAATTGTATGGCTGGACTATTGAACACCAACGAGAAAAGGTGGCGATGGACTGGTCTCACTAGTACAACGAGGGTGCCTCTAGCTAGTACCCCCCTGTAGTGCCGTCAAAAATCTTATATTTATATATCTACAAGTAGTTCCCGGGCAAGCCGGCGGCGGAAGTTTCCTATAAGAAGAAATTGACCTATAGGAGTGTCCACGTTCTCTCCAACATGCGCGTCCTCCAGTCAAACGCACGCGCTCCGGACTTTTGACCCACGGGATTCCACGTGTGTAAGGTGTGTGTGTGTGTGCCCCCTGCGAGAGATGACACACATCCGGCCACCACGACTTGCCAAGGATGCGGTCCACATCGACACACATCCCACCGTGGCATTCTTCAGTGGCGGCAAACCTTGCATATCACACATCGGACTGAATGGAATCCGAATTTGAATGTAAAATCTGTCTTGAACTCTGAGACTATGTATGATGAGTCTTGTATGATGAGGGGTGTATGACAAGTGATGAATGATGAGTGGTGTATGTTGAGTGGTGTATGATGAGTGGTGTATGACGAGTGGTGTATGATGAGTGGTGTATGCTGACTGGTGTATGATGAGTGGTGTCTTGACCAGCAGTTGAATGTCCTGTCCTGCATAACTGCCACCAAATACTATCAGTATGAACTGAACGTGCACGCCGCGAGAGATGACTCAGCAGCGAGAGATGACTCAGTCGCGAGAGATGACTCAGCCGCGAGAGATGGCTATAGCGAGAGCTGACTCAGCAGCGAGAGATGAATGAGCAGCGAGAGATGACTCCTCCGCGTACTACACTGTTCGCCAGTACAACTCTAGTTGTACTACGAAGTCGCCAGTCCTCAGCTTCTAGCTGCACAGATTGCTCCGCGTGCTGAAGTTGTACTACAAAGTCGCCAGTTCTCATCGTCCAGCTTGCCAGATACTCCGCCTGCTAAAGTTGTACTACAAAGTCGCCAGTTCTCATCGTCCAGCTTGCCAGATACTCCGCGTACTAAGGTTGTACTAGAAAGTCGCCAGTTCTCACCATCCAGCTCCACAGATACTCCGCGTACTAAAGTTGTACTACAAAGTCGCCAGTTCTCAGCTTCCAGCTCTACAGATTGCTCCGCGTACTAAAGTTGTACTACAAAGTCGCCAGTCCTCCTCGTCCAGCTCGCCAGATACTCCGTGGTTGTACTACGAAGTCGCCAGTTCTCAGCTTCTAGCTGCACAGATTGCCCCGCGTACTGAAGTTGTACTACAAAGTCGCCAGTTCTCATCGTCCAGCTTGCCAGATACTCCGCGTACTAAAGTTGTACTACAATGTCGCCAGTTCTCAGCTTCCAGCTCTACAGATTGCTCCGCGTACTAAAGTTGTACTAGAAAGTCGCCAGTTCT